TTAATATTCTTGACGAAATGATCACCAATCCAATCCTTATGTTCGTGCCTGAACAGCGACTGAGTCTTAGGCATGGCTATTAAAGTGACTGATGCCTGTTATCGATAAATCTTATGTTACTTATCATATAGACTTGTGTCTAACTAACGATACTTGTAAGTTATGGCTATAGAAAGTATATGCATGTGTTGTTGAATTACTTTTACGTTGCAAAACGGTAGTCGATAACAATATTTGGACTATCGATAACTAGTACAAGTACCAATCGATGACAGTTGTATAAGTTCTACATGTTGGTCGATAGCATACATTTCAATGTATTATTATTATATTATATATTAGTACCAAGATATTGTCGATTCCCTAAAACTGCTTATTTAACTGAAGTGAACTATCGATAAAAATATGAGCACCACCTTGCATTTTGCAAACAGTTTATTAAATCAATCCGTTAAAATTAATTTTTCATTATACGAAAACTTAGTTATTTCTATAATCGATAATATATCGATGGGATTTACTTAAGCAAACTTAATGAATCTGCAAAAATCCTACTGTTAGAGTTATTGAATTGAGTGAAATTTCTTCAAAATCGAACACATCAACTGAATTCCAATACTAAATTCGTCTGACACTCGTACTTTAACGGCAGCTGACGCAGCTCTCACTTATCGTTAACACATCTCCAAACGTTTGGCTTTGAGGCCAATTCCATTGGACGAAAGCCAGAGCTGTGAACAGCGAATGCATAGATGAATAGCTAGAGTCCGGTTCGAGTAATTCATCAACGTAGCTGGGTGACATCGATAACGTGAAAATTTTAGAGAGCACTCAGCATGATGAAATGCTTATCAGGGACACAGGCAATGCACACATGCACTCCTCAACCACAGCTTTGTCTATCGATAACATATCGATTACACTACACAAGAAAAAAATAGAAAATACAGCTTCACTTTCGCTGGGTGTTGCCTGCAAAAACTTGGGCGACGCTAGGCCACAGTGTGGCGGTTGGGCGTGGCATGTGGCTTGGGGAAAAGCCAGCTCGAATTTCACGGCGGTTGCCATATGGCTCGCAGGCAGTGTAGAACAAGCCGCTTTTGGGAGTCGAGCAATGCTGGCGCGGCGCATCAAGTGCATTGGCATAATGCAAAGCTGTTGCATAAGTGCATTTGCCTGTTATCCTCGCGCCTAACTATGTGTATCCAGGCCACTTGTTCGCCGCCGGAGAATCAATTTAGCGTGAGTAAAGTTCTGCCTCTGCTTCTTATGCTATTTTATTTTATTTATTTTTTATTTTTTTTGGTTTTTGGCTGCCTGCCTGCGGTGCCTTGTGGCTTGTCATGTGCACGAAGCTCGATTTGGAGTTGTTTTGCTTGTTGTCCTTGTTGGTGTTTGCTTTGTTTTCGCATCTCTTTTCTGCTCTTTTCTTATTATTTTTGTTTTTGGGCATGTGGCGCAATTATGGCAGCCGTCGAGTAACGTTACCATGGCCCAACTCCGCTCTATTAATCAAAAGTTATACAAAAAGCCAGCAAACTGCGCCACAAGAATCCGAGTGACTTTGCCTCGCCGGCTTCTGCTGCTCCTTCTGCTGCTTCTGCTGCTGGTTTGCAATTTAACTTTGCTTGAAGCGCAGCCTTCCAGTCGAAGTTCGGGATCAGGCTGGGCGTAAAGCAAGTTATAATATTTTATGAAGGCTACATCCTGTCTGGGTCGCCGACTGGGGTATTGGAGCCCAGCTCCGATTTCGTAGCTATAAATAAATAAAGCAGCCCGACACACAATCAAAAACCAATGAAGCACACCAGCAACAGCAACCGCAAATGACAACGGCAGCCGGGAGCAGGAGTAGCAGGAGTAGCATCAGCAGCAACAGCAGTAGCAGGCGAAGAGCTGGCCTTATCAGCAGCTGCCCCATCTTCCTCAGCGCCATCATCATCATCGTCATCATCATCATCACCAGCCGCAGCCACAGCAGCAGCATGCACGTCGTCGGCAGCATCATCATCGTGTCGGGTTATCCTGGGCCAGGTCCTAGCACATTTTTGCGGCCATTTCATTATTTACTTTGTTGCCCGGCTTCCAATCGAAACAAATAACCTAAGCGAACCATCAAAGGACTCTCAACTCGACTTCAATCCATTTGCCCGGCTTAATTCATGTGGTTTAACTAGTTCGCTCTCTCTCTCTCACTACGTATGTATGTGTGTGTGTGGCTCTGCAGTTGTTTGCTGCTTCAATTTCATCGACTGACAGCACTTTTGAGATATGCCTGACATCTATTTCTGTCTGGGCTTGCTTCACTTGCGCCATATCTCAACGCTAGATGGCGCCTGCAAACTGATTTGTTTAGGTTAGCTTCGATTTTCTGATTTATGGCCCATATATTATGGGGTAAGCTCATATGTAAAAGCAAAGCACAAATAAAAATATCGATAGCTAAAATACATTTGCAATAAATTGAGAATTTTTGGTTAACGTCGAACGTCCTTGTACAATTGATGTGCTGGGATCGAAAAGCTGAAACTGTAACTTTTGCTTCCTCTTCGGAAGGCTTAAGACAATCTCTTGTTTTTCTTAAGTTTTTTTTTGTAACTTAGTTTAATGTGAATACAATATTATCTGAGTGGGTCTTCACGGCATAGCAGGGCTGGGAAACTATCGATAACAATACCGAGCTATCGTATTTGTTCCCATCTACGGCACTATCGATGGTCTCCAGTCCCTATTGGAAGTCATGAGCAATAAGAAAATCATTTGCGAATGTTCATACATTTTATATTTAAACAAAAAATTTCAAAAAAATTGGTGGAAAATACCAAAAGCTGTGTCGATAGTTTGCCTGCTCTACTTTGTGCATATCTAATTTACAAGTGTTGAAAAAAACACATGCAATTATCTATGTTTTCGATAACATATCTATGTATCGATATAGAAATTGACTTTTACTGAAATCATATTGAACACGTACTGAAATGCATTGGAAATTGACAAGCAGACGCGAGTGACTCGGCTAATCCGGAGATAGAAATGGACTTATTTTACTCACCATCAGCATATCTGCCGATGGTCCTTATGATGGAGAGCATCAAGGTTTGTTTTGCCAATTTCAACCGCAACATCTGGGCCAACGCTCTGAAGATGCGCTGCTCCACTATTTGACGTACATACGTTTGTAACTTATTTAACTTTTCAAGTGTCATTTTCTATGAGCAGAGCAGTTTTGTTTTTCCATTCACAACGGCTCAACAACCTTTTGTATTGTTGTAGACAAAAATTTTTAAGTTTTTAATTCGTAATTTTGTATATAAAACCTTTAGAGGATGAGGAACGTACGCGAGTTTAGAGTAGTCTGTCGCGATTTCATGAATCGCTACGTGAACATCGAGGAGTTCTCCATTTGGCACAATCGTCACGCTTACAATCGTCGCAAATATGTGATCCAGAGTATTATCAAGAACTGGATGCCGTTGCTCTTTTGGTTCTTTGCGCTGTACAGTGCCTTGGGACTGGTAAGACTCGAAAGGTGTCTCGCACCTTATGCAAGCATCTCGTTCGTTTCAGATTCATCAGCTCTGTCAATTCTTGCGTGCCAAAATGTACGTGGATCGTCCTTTGGGCATGTGGCGCGAACGCTGCTTCTATGGGCTGCGCGACGAGAGCATTCGCAAGATGCGCGTCTTGGGCAGCTTCATCATGCTCCTCTGCTGGACGTCGCTGTTCATAGGCATTGTCTGGGTTAGTGATCATCATCATGTACCATCAAATAGGGCATATGCCAATTTATTGTTTTTGTCTTAGAGCAAACCCAAGTGTATGAAACCGTGGCTGACAATAATGGGCGTGGTCTTACCTTTTGACTTTGTTCTATGGGGCATGGAGGTCATCATTGGAATCGAGCAGTTCACTTGGCAGGGGCTTCTTAGCTTTGTACTACCCGCCATCTGCCGCTTTGTGCTGGGATGCATAAAACTTGCTCTCGAGGAGCCCAGCAGGAAACTGTTCCGGATATGAACCACACTCCAAGCTTTCAACTGGATAATAATTAATAAAGTAGTTCTACTTCATCAGTTCTATTTGGAGCTTGAAGTCCGTTTTCTAGTTTCGAGTAACTCTAGAGGAAGAGAAAGTTTTGCCAGTTGTATTGCTAAAGCTCCATTTGCAGAGCTGAGTGGATGGATGCATGGAGTCGAACTAGTTGAGCAACAGCCTTAATGGCTGCTCTACTCATTTAGTTTTAACTCTATTCTGTAAATTTATTTTCAAGTATTAGCTTGGCCACTTGCTAGTTCCTCATGCTGGTTCCGGATCTAGTTCCACTTGCTTTTTAAGCTGCTTTATGGCCCTGTTTTTACCCAATTTCATGGCTGCGCTGATTCAATTTTAATTACGCGACAATTTGACAATCCTCCTCCGCCTACCACCCGGCCTTACATCCTGCTTCCTTCAGCCACTCTCCGCCCTCTCCCTCCCTCTCACTCTCTCTTTCTGTTTTTCTGTCGTCGACCACGATTTGCCCTTTTTCTAATTTACTAAAATTGCGCGTGGTTTGACTTTTGTCCCGGAGCGTTGCGTGGGCGTCCAAAACTTAATAAACGAAATGAGCGCCCGGAATCGTTGCTCTCCTCTATCCTTCCCCAGCTTACCAGTTCCGTTATCTGCGGCGCCGACTAGTGCCCCTGCCTCAGCGCCCGCGTGCCCTCAACACACCCCATTGCCAGCACTCTCGGCGTTTGTGGCTCTTTTGCAAAGTTTTGTGTTTAATTTAATTTACTTTAACTCGATTTCGTTCTCATGAATTCGCGTTTAGCGCCTGCGACAACTTTTTAATTGCCAGGTGGCTCACATGCGACAACTGATGTGGCTCACTCCGGGGCCTCCTTACTTATATGTATGTATGTCTGCTCGTTGAGCTCTTGTCAGCGAATGTATTCAAATTGAGTTCATAAAATAGACACGCAGCCAATTAAAGTGGTTGCTTATGCATAATCATTGCTTGTCAGCGAAATGAGTGCCTACAAAGAGCAACAGAGAGGGAGAAAGAGAGAGCGATACAGGGAGAAGCAAAGAGACTGGCTAAGAGTTAAAGCTGTAATTGTAATTGTAATTGTCATTGTCATTGTCATTGTCATTGTCATTGTCATTGTCA